CTCTCTCTCTCTCTCTCTCTCTCTGTCAGTTTTTTTTATATTTATTTCAAATTTGATGACAAGATAAATACCCTTTCAGTCACAAAGTTGGATTTAAATATAAGACACGCAAAAAGATAAGTGCCTGATGCCCCCCACCCCAAAAAAAGAAGAAAAAATATTTAAAAAATAGAGAAAATATAACATTTCGAAAAATTTAGAGGCCCCAGAACATAGTCTATGGATTTAGGCCAAATGAATTAGTCTTTACTCTGTTAATATTAGACAAAACGTTTTAGAGGCACATTACGTGAGGCAAATTCAACACGAAAACGGGAAGGCAGTAGATTCAAAGCGATCCAAACTATAAAATACTATAATAAAATGCAAGCAACGGATATAGATTCGCCGTGTACATTAGTTTCTCGTTTCAAACTTGCGAGTCTTTGCGTTTCTCTTTCTTGTTAAACAATGTTTTAAAGCCACTGTAAAATGTGTGATGTTTTTTCCCCATTTTTTTAAATTTGCCACAGGGGGAAATCACGCTATATTGTTCATAAACTTGAATATTCCATGACAGTGCCCATGTCTTATCTGCCTCGTATTATTTGGATGGTTTAATCGAGATCTCTCCCAAAGTTTCCACATCCACAACTGTTACTACTAAGTGCTCTCTGTACTGCTATCCTCCCAACGATGAAACGTACGAACTTCGACATCAACGCTTACTGTCAGTGTTAACGGTATGAACTTAGCACACTGCAATGCTTGAGGTCCTCGAAGTAGACAGGGACGATGTATCAGAATACACAAGGCGTCAACAGCAACTGTTATGAAACCGTATGATCCCTCTGCCAGGGCGGAGGCAGTTATAAATGCATATTTCTATAAACAGAAATAATAAACAAAGTCCGCTTTTATTGATCGCCATTCAGAGATAGTTTCGAAGCACGAGTAAAACAATCTCGATGTCACATTAAAGCATCATAATACACACTAAAAATCAGTACAAGCAATTTGATAACCAGGACGCCATTGCCGGGAAAGATAGAGGCCTGTTGTGGCATAGGGGCGGGGCTCCAATGGACAAGGCGACAGGTGACGTGGGACGGGTGACAGGTTGCACCATTGCTGGTCAACACTGTGTAGCTCTCTGTACTTTAGCCAGGGCTATTGATCGTGCCTTGATCAAGGACACATCATGTGACCACCCACCTAAAGCTTATAATAAGTCGGCTGTAAATAAACACATTTATCATAGAAAAATGTCCTATTCTATTAGTTATCTCGGTCAGTTGGCATCGTTAGTGAACCCTTGCCCACTAGCATCTCGGTCATTGGAGCCGTTTTGACTGTACAGTCCTTAAATGCAAGTACAGTCCATTGATCACATGATGCTGATAATGATAAAAATAATAGTAAGGACGCATAATCGACAAAACAAAGGCAAATGCATAGCACATTATTTTCAAACCCTCGTACATAAACAAGAAATACGAATTGTTTTAGATGGTTTATTTAAGTTTCAGATTAAAAATATACAATTTTGAAAACTGTGTTTGACTCTTGAGCTTTGAACATTTTGAACAGTTTATAACTCTATACCTATCTACCTTTTTTAAGTCCCTAACACTTCCACTGCCAGGTCTGGTACTGTGTACGCACTTTAGTAGGATTATAGAGAGTGAGTTTGACAGTGAAAGAGTTAACTGCCAATTTCTTTAATATCTGCCTTTTTTGTAATCCTCACATCTTGAACCCTTTAGTTTTTTAAACTCTTAAACGTGCTTTTTATTCTCTTTCTCGTCCAGGGTCTTTCACTGGGGGTTTCCCTGGTGGTAAGTACGCTCTCCCTGCTCCTATTGGAGGATGTCCTGACTCGGCATTCTTGGAGGGAGCAAGGACACACTTCGGAGAAGGTGGGTCACCGCCCACGGTCAAAGTAAACTTAGCTAATTTAAATCGGTACCAGTCCTCTTGACTGTCTATCCAACTAATCGTGTTTACCTGTGCTGTATCAATTGGTGACAGTTGGGATTAGAGTTAGATTGTAAGCCTTTAGCTTAGGGTTAGGGGTTTGGGTTAGTTCAAGGTTTGGATTACGGTAAAGGTTGAGTTTAGGGCTGTTGATTGTAGAACATTAGTAGACCGTAAAGTGGAATAATTGCCAGACTGGTTCAGTGGGGGACCTTCAAGTAGAACAGAAACATTGGGGTAAAGGGTCAACTGGAGTTAAACCGATTACAGTTTATCTTACTAGTGCATAGTTTTCAAAACTTCGTTTCCTCGGAAGTTTTTTTTTTTTTTTGTTTTGTTTAATATCTGCTTCTTTTCTGTCTTTTCATCCACAACTCGAACTTATTCTCTTGAAACGATAATAGTTTCTTTTTTATGAAATCAGTAATATACCGGGTTTATTTCTCTTTATTTTTCCTCCCCAAAAAGCCATAACGAATGCATAATATACCAATGTTGCGCAAATAGTTATTGAGAATGATGTCTTCAAATGTTTGTAATACCTGCAAAGCAGTATCCTCATCAATGCCCAGAACGCTGTCCAGTCTCAAGTTATGCATTCCAATACATCATTTTGGAAATGATGAAAGTTGTAGTCGGTTAATGATAATGGCATATTACTATGTATTTGCTCGCAATATGAATGTATCTGACATTTAAGTATCAGCTTTTCTAACTACGATTCACTTCAAACGAATGTTCCCCATTTCTCTTTGTCCGGTTGGAGATGGACGTTAAAATCGGAGGTCCTGCCTCTTAAAAGTAGCGTTGCAAGACGTTGAATCTATACATTTTCACACATTGTGTTCTATTCTGTTCTTTTCATTGTTGTTGGGGGTTTTTTTTTCAAAATTATTATGCGGGTGGTTGGTGAGAGCTCTAATGTGGTTTGCTCCATCTTTCCTCTCAAACAATTAATATATTTTTTCAAATCTATATCTTTATATTTTGTTTTCTTCCAGCTGCCCCTTGTGAAGACGCAAGCTCGTACTGTTCGTACTGGGCCAAAATCGGAGAGTGCGAACGGAACCCCGGATTCATGGTCACAACATGCAAGGTTTCTTGTAACCTATGCTATCAAAGTAAGTCTTTTTCGTCTAATACGTTCTTTTCTGGTAATGTTGCTCAAATGTGTTTCATTCCTTAGACATACTTCTTCTTTATAAAGCGTCTCTTTGTTTTTGTTGGGTTTTTTCCTTTCCTTAATTCTTGAAGGTTTCATGTTCCATGAACTCCATACATGCAACATTTCATGATTATCTATAATTCTGTTAGGCTTGTTCACCTCTTTTACCTGTTCTCTCGCTCTCTTTACCTATGTATCCCAGCACTCTCTCCCCTTCTCACCCCCCCCCTCTCTCTCATCTCTCTCTCTCTCATTCTTTCTTTCTTTTTCTCTCTGTCTTTCTGTCTATCTTTTTATCTATCTAAGTAAGTGTCTATCTATCTATCTACGAGTAGGTAATATAATACATATGTGTGTGTCTGTGTGTTTGTGTGTTTGTGTGTGTGTATCTGTGTGTGTGTGTCTGAACGTATCAACGCTTGCTCATCCTCTCTGTCTCTATCTCTCTAACTGTAACTTTCCTCTCTCAGCCTGCCTCTCCCCTCTCCCCCCTTCTCTCTCTACTCTCTTTCTCTCTCTCTCTCTCTCTCTTTCTTTCTTTCTCTCTCTCTCCCTCTCTCTCTCGCTCTCCTCTCTCAAATCCACTTACTCTCGACGAGTATCTAAAATCTACTTTTCTGTAATACTAAGGGCATACAAAAAGTTTTTTTACCTGACCTTGAAGGAATAAAGGTAGAAAGCTGAAATTTAGGGTGAAAGCCAACACCCATCTTCCTAGAATGCGTTTAGATTTGGGAGAATTTCCGATTACTGGTTTTAACATCAGCGCACTGTAAGTGAATGGGAGTATGTTGTTCTCCAGTTTCAAAAATAAAAAATGATAAAACTGAGCACAGGGCAGTAATGACGTTTTTGTTCTTGCAACTGGATATTTTTACAGAGACATATACGGTATATGGAACTGACTGCCCATCTATGCTATCATAAAATTTTGGTGTAAAAAATTCAAATGCGGATTCATGGACAGTGAAGATGACCACCGTGATGGTCGCCCGGTGACAGCAACAATAGATGAGAATGTGTTTCAAATCAAGAAACGTGTGTTGTCTGATTGTCGGGTGACAGTCGAATGTTTGATCCAAGAAACTAGGCTTACCGTTGGAACAGTTGAAAGAATCTTAAAGAAACATTTTAATATGACCAAGGTTTCTGCGAGATTGGTCCCACGTTTGTTGGCTCCTCCTCAAAAAGTGCAACGGATTGTTGTCAAGAATTGCTTGGTCTGTATGAAAAGTATGAACCAACGTTTTTGAAAGACTTGTAACCATGGCTAAGACATAGGTCCACCACTACGATCCTGAATCAAAGTCTGCATCAGTACAGTGGAAATCGCCCTCATCTCCAACACCAACGAAGGCAAAGGTAAAGCCATCAAGTGATTGCTGATGCTATCAGAGGTTGTTTTGTTTACCAAGAAGGAGTAATTGAGATAGACTATCTTAAAAATGGACCTATGATCACCGCAGACCAATATTCTAACCAGCTAATAAAGATTACGAGTGACTTTGAAAGAAAGGCGCAGAGGAAAGATCCAAAAAGGAATTTTGCTGCTTCACGCCAACACGCCAGCACACACTTCAAGAAAAGCTGCAGAAACTGTGAGAAAGTGGCTATGAAATTTTACCACATCCACCCTATTCTCGAGATTTAGCCCCGTCCGATTTTCGTAATTCCCCAAACTTAAAAAGGGATTTAAAAGGAATGTATTTTGAAAGTGATGATGAGGTCAAAGAAGCGGTAGAGAGCTGGTTTTCTGACAATGAGAGGGTCTTCTCTTCTCAAGGTCTTTTCAAGGTCATACGACGATGGCAATAATGTATAACTAGTGGATGGCGGCTACATAGAGAAAGATTAAGGTTAGTCCCAAATTTCAATTTTCTACCTTCATTCCTTCATGATCAGGTAAAAAAAACTTTTGGTATGCCCCTCGTATAAGCTCCTTAATATGTACTCCAACTTAAAATATACACTTTAAAATATACTCTTCCTTAAAATCTACTCCTTAAAATCTGCTCCTTAAAATATCCAGCTTAAAAGATACTCTTCATTCAAATCTATTCTTTCAAATCTACTTTTCCTAAAAACCTCGTCCTCTTTAAAATCTATTCTTCTTCAAAATATCCTCCTCTTTAAAATCATCTATCTTTAAAATCTACCCTTCCATAAAACTGCTTTTTAAAATCTACTTCCCCTTAAAAATCAAGTCTTCTGTAAAAACTCCTTATCTTCAAAATCTCTTCCTTCTCCTCCTTCTCCGTACAGCCGAAAGTTTCACCAGCAAGTCCTACCACCTCGCGGGCACTGTCTCTGGTGCTCGTGTGGAGCACGAATTCTGCGTCAATGACGGTAACGCCATATCCAGCAAACAGATGTGGCCATCTGGTCGCTACTGCATCTTTCGTTACGGAGACTCGTGCCCTGAAGGTAAGTTCAGCTATTCTTTTAAAGGTACTATTTTAACACCACCCCCTGCCCCAACTGACCTATTTTAGATCACTTTAGGAAGCGGGCTTCTACTTGTATAGGCCTATTCTATCATAAAATACAATATTTCACATCGTATGATATTATATCATTTATACTATTAATTTTATTATGTATAATACATACAAAGAGAGTCAGATAAATAGATGTGTGTGTGTTTGTTTGTTTGTTTGTGTTTGTGTTTGTGTGTGTATGTGTGTGTGTGTGTGTGTGTGTGTGTGTGTGTGTGTGTGTGTGTGTGTGTATTAACTAAAAGCGGTAGTAAAAGAGATAAACTAAAACGTTTATAAAGTATTGAAACCAAAAAAAAAGCTTCAAGGATGACGCACTGTCTTCGTGTTCTGTGCTGAACTACTCCAGGCTTTGAGAATGGCACAGTGGAATTCCCTGACGTGAATAACTCGAGCAGCTCCGTGATTGGGGAAGTCCCGGCCGGTGTCTACGAGGAGGACCTGACTGTCTTCGAGTTCTGCTGTCGCCAGGACGGATTTGATAGCGATAACCTCTACTTCCCGACCGACAAACCTTTTGCGCTGCTCCAGTTCGGTATGGGTTGTCCTGCGATGGAAGGTAAGACTTTTCAGTAGCTCCTGCTCCTGCTTCTGCTGCTGCTGCTGCTGCTGCTGCTGCTGCTGCTGCTGCTGCTGCTGCTGCTGCTGCTGCTGCTGCTGTTTTCTTATACAAGCATAATAATATCGTTTCAGGCTGTGAACCGAAGATTGTAATTAAATTTCGGGCTGAGGTCTGCCTGATGTTGTGCTTTTTGAGAAGGCACTTTAGACGAATTGTCTGTTTCAGATGGACGTTGAATCCGGAGGTCCCACCTCTTGCATAATTCCCTTATTCATTTGTTTTCTTAGTATATATAAAAGTTTTATTCAAGTTTTTAATTATTCTAAATATTAGAACATCCACGAGGAATGATAACGAGTTCATTACTCAGACATGGTCAATTCAGTTCCTCATATTGATTACTGAAGAAATTTTTTGGGGGGTAAAAGTAAATTCGACCCACCCCCCACCCCCCACATGGACCTTTTTCTAAATGTAAGTTAGAATCCCTTTACGCTCATGATGGCACGGGCATACACGAGAGGTCCATTGAAAGTGGAGACTCCTGGTGCGTGCACTAGGTCTATTAAGTTGCGAATAGAGGGCTCACGTTTACTTTTACCCTTTGTTTATATCTAGCAAAAACAGCAATAATAATAAAAAATGGTGATAATAATAATAATGATTTAAAAGATAATGATAATGATAATGATAGTAATAATAATAATAATAATAATATTATAATAATAATAATAATAATAATAATAATAATAATAATAATAATAATAATAATAATATTGTTAATAACAGTATGGAGAAGATGATTTATTGTTTGTGCCAGACATATCAATCGTGATCATGACCCAGATCTTAAAAATAATTTTAATGACTTTTTCTCCTAACCCGGTTTAGCCAGCTCTGCCATTACTCGTTATTAGATACAATTAGTACCAAAACAAAAAACCAACACCACAAAACCTGGTAGGTGGGACAGTACTGAGTTTGTGCGGTAAATAAAATGAAACAGACTACTTTTCATGAGCCCAAAAGCCCCAGAAATGAGCCATGGCACTGTTTAAAAAGTTACCGAGATAATTGATAGGCTGTGTCACTTATACCGAGGGGTCAAACGACTTGTCTATATAATATCCCATGCGTGACCAGTTCATTTCAAACGACTGTCTCTGTTCCCTGGGAACATACAGGGTTGCTGACTGTTAGACAGAGAATATGTATCTTTAGGGCTCATCATACCGGTCCGATTTTGTACATTTACTCATTATCATTTTCCCAATTCGGCTCGCTCCTTTTGGAGATGGACGTTAAAAATTCAGAGCTCCAGCCTTTGGAACAATCCGACATTGTTGCAGATAACGTTAAGCCTACACAGTTTCACATAATATCTCTGATTTCGCTACAGGCAGTTTGGTCTTTTACGCTTGTGTTCTTCTCAACAGCAATGCGCGCAATACCAGAGTATATGGTGTTCAACAGCGCCGGCAAAGCTAAGATCACTGGGATCACACCTGTACTGGAATATAATGAAGAAAACACCCAATACATCATCAGGCATTGCTACTATGAGGCGGTCAACATGGGTAAGTAAAAAAACCAATGTAACTTCACTCTTTATTTCTGGTAACTTGACAAAATCACAAGAAACTGATTCTAACGCTTACCAGAATACAGCTTGCAACCTTAGAAGAAGATGGAAAAATCGATACAACACGTTATAACTCTTATTGTCATAACGGGATACCGTTAAATCTTAATGAACATTTATTTCTTACTAGAATAAATACGTGCATTCATTCAGAAAAGGGGACAAATTATTACAACAACTAGCTATTTATCCTGGACACGCGTTTCTGTCATTCGACAATGTTTAAAGACTTGCTGTTTTGGGGAATACTATGAAAGTGAGGGGTAACTTCGTTATTGGTAAAATACTTTTTTCAATTCTTTTTTTTTTTTTTTTTTTTTTTTCTTTTTCAATTCTATTTTTTTTAATTCAAAAACTTGAAAAAGCAGGCAACAACATTCACACTATAAAGTAAATACATTTTGTTTTAGGTTAGTGAATAATGGATCGAAGTGTGCCGCACAACTGCTTTTGGTCCATTGTTGGTCGGCTACGACCTACAATATTATCATACTCCACTATGGTAGTAACTGGAAATAACTTGGATGGTTTTGTATAGTAAATCTTGCGTTCATTACATAAAGTCATTTCATTTTGAAATACAGCTAAACTAACCGTTATCTCAATCTTGCTTTTTTTTCTCTTTAACTTAAATATTGTGAGTGGCCCTTGTAGGGAAGCACTTGTCTTCCGCCTTACGTTACAGTTGTTTGGTCATCTGTGTAAAATCTCGGCAAATTCTGCCCTGTTTCCTATTTACAACTAAAAGCATTTATATTACAGTATTATTAAAGCCTCATAGCGACACTTTAGATATAGTTTAATGGCAAGATACTTCCCCCCTGGCTGTGTGGGAAACGACATCCTAACAGGAAGGCAAGGATACTCTATAAAGTTGGGTTCCACTTCCCACCAATCCCTAAGAAAAGACTCGAATTTCCACCTGTTCCATGCATGACAAAGAGCTTAACTGTTGCACTGCAAGCCCCTATAGAGCAGAAACGTGTGTATCGGGTGGACGTTACATGGATGAAGGACTCGGAACAAAATTAATATCCCGTGGACAGGTACATTAATAGCTTCATAACTGAGTAGGTTTTAAGCTGTAGTATATCTAACAAAAGGCTGTGGCATGATACGGGTTTATCGCCTCTATAACTTTTTCAGGTCACAAAAGGGTGCGACCTTCTATATTATTGTTCCTCATGTCTGATGGGACAAAGCTTAATGGGGGGTCGAGCCGGAAAGGAGGAGATATTGACCGGCACAGACACAGACAGATATATATATTATTATATACAAACAAGTAGCCAGGGAAACAGACAGACCGAGATAGACAGAAAGAATCGGAAAAAATACAGAGAAATAAAAAGGGAAGAGGAGAAAAAACCAGACAGACAGACAGACAGACAGACAGACAGACAGACAGA